CCTGAGTGCATGCAAGCAAAAAAAAAAAAAAAAAATCAGCCCATGTGTGCCTGTGGGATGGGGGATAATTAATAGCCACAAAGCACCCAGTGATGAACACGGAGCCTTCAACGAACCTTCCAAAATCCTCTGCATGTCAAACATCGCAGCTAGCCCCCACCCCACCCCTTTGTTTCCTATGAAAGAGGAAGTGAGAACAGCTATGGGGCTTAGGAAAGCACATAGGCGCTATCAGCATGTTATCTCTCTACCCAAGGGTCACAGGTTCACTGGAGGGGGACCTCAGCTTCCCTCAGCCACCTCCTGCTAGAGCAAAGGAGTCCATCCAAGTGCTCAGGCCCTGCCTGGGCCAGATAAGCATCCTGTAGTTGACTGTGAGACTTGTCGGCATCCCGATGGGACTAGAAGGGCTGGCCCCTACACAGGCTGCAAGAACCCACAGTGGTGACTTCACCGGAGTCTTTTTAGAATTTTCCTTTGGCATAATCTGTGTCAAGTGCAATCTTTAGAAACTTCCTCTCCTGCCTCCCGGAGGCAATAATTCACATGACCAGCTCCCTTCACCCAAGCAGTGATCTTGTGAAGCCCGGCAATCACATGACACCTCCCAGGATGACAGTTCTGCCAGAGACAGCAGTCATTCCACCCAAAGCTGTCTTTTCTGAGCTGACATTTGGGTTTCTTGCTCAAACAAATCCATTTTCCTCGAAAACTGGACAACCGCCCTCCACCTGCCTATCCTATCTTACCTCTTCTTCTTCGATGTAAATCCCACGCCTCGAATAAGAGAGGCTGAGTCCAGCGGGGGCTGAAGTCCCCTCCCTTAGAAAAGACGGGAATGCGATGCTGAGACCCCTGGACTAAGTGTGCAGGTTGCCGGGAGGCTGCAGCTCAATGGCTATACACCGTCCCTTCCTCACTGAGAATCTCATTCTCACCTCGGAAGACTTACACTATGAAGTTAACCTATGTCCCTCCTCTGTTCCCACCCTTTCAGGTTATTGACGCTGAATGGATTGGGACAGAAGGTCCATCTTGGCTATTTTATAGACTATTTTTATAGGTGAGTGTGGGGAAGGGGAGGATAGATAGGCTCTTAAGAAAGGTGCTGTCATTCTCCCAGCCAGCGCCCAGGAAAGACAGGCTGCTGGGTTGAACACTTGTTAATCACTACCTATTTGCCAGGGACTGAGCCATAGGGGCCTGGTCAGAAAGAGGTCTAGAACAAGCCATGTAGATATTAATCCCGGCCCAGCTTTCTGTACTTCGGAGAGGTGCCTGTGGGTTCCCAAGCCCCGGAGGATGGCAGGGCACGGCTGGAACTTTGGCAAGGCAGGAGGAAGCAGATCAGACGCCAGAGCCACTCATAGGAGAGAGGTGAAATTCATCAGCTGGTCCTGAAAGGGCCCAATGGTGACTGAAAACTATGAATGGGGAGAGGCACTTGGTGGGTTCCTGGGGGGTCTGGGGAAACTACAGGGCAGTAAAGAGAGCTCCTGGCTGCCCCACCTCTTCCAGCTTGCCTCTTCTCTCTTCCCCGGGGCTGGCTCCCCCGCCCCCCCTTCTACACTGCTATCAGATGCCAGGCTCTAGGCAAATGTTGGTGAGGAGGGCGCGCTGAGAATATCTTTACCTCCCTGCAAAGGCAAGGTGGCACAGAGATCTCTATGCCGGTTAACACCGATCCAAAAAGACACTAAATAAGGCCCCCTTCTCTCCCTCCCCAGCTGTGTCTCCAACCTTCCTATCCTTCCAGGAGAGACCCAGGATTTTTGCAAACCCCCTTTAAGACGCAGGACTCCTGAATGGTGACCTCACTCCTTGGCCAACCGGCCTTCAGAGCCCTCCTGCGGGAGACAGCCAGGTGTTTGATGTAGACCAACAAAGAAGACAAGCTCAGAGCCACAGGTACATGCGGGAACTGCAGGAGCTTCTGGGAAGCTGCCTCAGGAAGGCAGGAGAGGAGGGTAGCGGGAGAAGATCATCCAGGGAGAGGCTGTGCCACCACAGGTACATCCACCGTGTCTCCCAAGGGGCTGTTGATTACCCAGGCCTCTCTTCCTCTCTCCCACACCTCCACACACTAACAGTGCTTGCTCTGGTACTAGGGGGAGAGCTCACTCTTCCCTCATCCCAACAGCCCAGCAGCAGCGCGGGAGGACCTCTGCCCCCCACCCTCTCTCCAATCAAGTCTAGCAAGGGAGCTATTGGGGAAGCCAGGCGCCCTACTGCCGAAAGCAAATTGCCAGCCTGCCTCCTCATTCGGGTTGGGCAAGGGGTACGGTAAACCAACTCATTCCTATACCTTGCCGCTTAGCGCAGGGCTACACAGTCACAGTCCACAGGGCAGATCCGCATAAGAAGAGTTCTAGCCTGGCTTCTAGCCTGGGCTATGTGACCTTGGGCAAGTGGCTGACCCTCTCTGGGCCTCAATTCTGCATCTGGAACCCTGGTTACAGGCATCTGTCGACACGAGCTGAGCGGCAGTGTGCGGGGCCTGAGCCCGCAGCTTGGGGAGGGTGGCAGTGGGAGCTGAGGGTGCTTACCTGACAAGGAACAGGACGCGGAGAACAG